TTTTCACTTACTCCTTCCTCCCTATCCCTCTTCTCTCGCCCTCTCTCTCCCCTCCCCTGTGTGAATGGACTGTGATGCTGCTGTAATGAAAGGAGACCGGAGCCTCTTCGCGAGGAGGCGGAGCAGCTAGGCTTTGCGACGGTATCGGCGGAGCCCGAATCGCCGTGAGTTGGGGGCGGTAGCGCGACGCGGCAGAGGCTTCAACCACCCTCAATCCATTTTCGCCGACCAGAATGAGCTCGAATCGCCACGAGTTGCGACTGTATTTGGTGGTGTCTCTTCGTTGGTGGCGGTGTATTTAAGATTTTAGATGAAGACGGAAGGGGTTCAATAGTCTCTCCGTTGGTGGCGGTGTTTTGGTGGTGTAGGTGCGATCAGTATCAAGAAAATACTTTACTATCGAAACTATGAACCTTTCTGTTATAGTATCTTTGGTGGTGTTGGCATTGATCGGGGTGGAGATGATGGCAGGTTTGTTGGTGCTGTTGCGACGGTGACAGCGTGGTGAGGGTTGTCGAAAGTAGCCATAGTGGCAGCGGCGGTAGTCTGTGACCAAATGTTTGGTAATATCTGTGACCAATTACTCAACTGTGACATAAAAATTTAATAATATGTTACTAAAAAATAATCTGTAACGTACAAAATTTTTGATCCGTGACCTTGAAATAAGTTGTGATCAATTAATTTTAAAATATGTGACATGTGACCTATAATTATGTATATGTGACCATTAATTATATAGATGTAATCTTATTATATTTAATTAATAAATATTTTTAATTAATTAACTAAAATCCTGATTTTTGTATTAGTCAAACTTAAAACTTGATTTTTGAATTGTGTATATTTAATACCTTACTTTTGAACTCTCCCCTCCTCNATGTATATGTGACCATTAATTATATAGATGTAATCTTATTATATTTAATTAATAAATATTTTTAATTAATTAACTAAAACATGATTTTTGCATTAGTCAAACTTAAAACCAGATTTTTGAATTTTGTAAAGTTAATCCCTTACTTTTGAACTCTTCCCAAATTTTAATTTTGCTATATGTATCTTGACTTTACTAAGAGTTTGTTTGGGAGGAATTAAAATCCAATT